TGTGGAGTCCATCTTTGTAGCGCGACGTTTTAAGAAAATATCGCTTATTCGCGTCGCGTTCGGTGTGAAAAGGCCTTTACAGTCAATACAGAAGATCCGCTGAAACAAAACATCGGCGTATTTGTAAATCGTAACTGTTCCTTCATTTTGTTTAATCTTGACTGTTGAGAGACATTCTTTTATGTGCACTCAGTTGTAATGTGTAGTCGTGCTGTTTCCACCACGGTGGGGCACAGTTTTGTGAGCGCACCCATTTTTGTTTTTAGCGGGAAAGTCTGAGTTCGGTTGGGGTCGTCACACTAGAAGAGTGTAGACGTGTGTTATCCTTCGTCTCAATAAATATGCTAAGAGAGCTAAAAGATATTATTGCTTCCGTCAAATTTCTTCCTGAGTTCAACGCTGGTGAAGCTGCAAAGCTCAACATTGACATAATAAAACAGTGGGATAACACAACAAAGTGCTGTATTTATTAATATTGGGAGTCACGTTTGCTCAAACTAGACACAAAGCGCTTTATTTACAATAAAGTGTACAATGACTCATGTGATCTGTTTGTACTCGGGCATGTGAACACTGAATAATTTTTCAGCTCTCTCATTGACTTTTTATAAGCAAATCATGGCTCAATAAAGTGATTCTGAAAATACCCTTGAAGCAAAAGTAAGGGTTTTTATATCGCCACAGTTTCCTCATTTTGTGTACTATCTTGGCTTGCATTGCATTTTGGTCAAAAATCACAAATTTTACCATTTGTCTGAAACTGACAGCTATTTATTGTAGATTTAATTGCAATCACACAAAATCATCAAGTTACTCTTATTAAATACAACTATTTGTTTGCATTGTAAAACAGTTATTTCAATTCTGCCAGACAAATATTAAATGTGAAGGAGTAAACTCCACATAAAACATTTTAGTTTACACTTTTTCACATACTCAACAGTTATCACAGCCATCTGTCCTTATCCTCAAATATTTGGACTTACCAGCAGAACCAGCAACCGAATCTTATAATGGTTGTATTTTCAATGTTAGAAGCAATGTTAATTTCCTAAACCCTTGTATATTTGTGTACAGTCTTGTATTCAAACACCAACACAATTCTGGTAGTCTGCTGAGATGATGCTTCTGGCTTTGCAGGATTCCACTTGATGTCCATCAGTCAGGTGTAGGAATGCTGTCTGCAGACAGGAAACTTCCACTGCTTAACTGCTG